AAATCAGCCGATATATCAGATTTGTAAATCACCAAATATTAGTGTTTGGTTTGATTTTAAGAACCCAGCAATCGCTTGCAATTCAAGAATTAAAAACACACAAACTGATCTCATGGACGCTGAAAGATCCTTAATAATGAGATTGATTGATAGTGAATTGGAGCAGCTGTCTTTTTTATAGCTTCAAACAGACTCTGGTTGCAGTTTTCACCATCTGTTTACAGCAGTGACTTATTATAGTTTTCCATTGCATCAGCACTGTTAGATATAAATTATGTTGCTTGTCTTAATTGTGGCTTTCAGTGACGTATTTTTCTCTTGGTGTGTTTGTGCGTGCGTGCATGTGCGTGTGTGTTGTGTATTTTTCCTGTTAAGCTTGCAGCTGTGTGTGTTTCTTATTTCCTCTCTCTGCAGCAGTTTGTTTCTTTACCTTGTCTTTTTGCATTTCTGCATTTCATCCGTTTCACGTGCACTGACACAATCCTGAGTGAGTGCGATTCATCAGAAACAGTCTAGTGCATCTCATAACTCTCAACAGGTCGCCTCTTTTCTGATCTGACTTAGTTTTATCCTAAATATTTGAATTTGATATTTAGTTTAGTTTGTGCTTTTGAGGGAAGCTGACGAGAAACAAAGGTTACTGTTATTAGTTTTTGAGATGCACTCTTATCGCTGTATCCGTTTCTGTGGTCGTGTGTTTTTATCAAGGCTTTGAAGATGTTTTAGATTTTTTAAATTCGCAGTAGTATAGTTTAAGTGGTATCAGCTAGGCTGCTTTTAAAACCACTGTTCCCCCCTGCCCTGCCTGCTGAGCCTCTAACAGTAGATGACTTGATGTGTAACCTCTGTAAAGCCGTTAGTGTAGTTCATTTGTTTATTTATGCTGTGACTGTCTTTTGTGCTAAGAGTTGTAATGAGTCGCTGGTCTCCAGTACTTTCATCTGCATATCAGTAATGTGGGTGTTTCTGCTCTTTACTGGTGATTTTGAGTTTTCCTGTCCTCACCAGAACAACGCAGCTAACCTAGCAGCCGACTTCTCTGCCATCAAGGAGCTGGACTCGCTGAGTAACGAGATTGTTGAACTACAAAGGTAATCATTTCTCCTCACATTCAAAAAAAAAGGCAAACACCATACATGTTATTACCAGAGTGATGGCGGTGGAGATGATTTCATTGGTGGTTTATGTTGTTGGCCTAAAGATGAAGGGTTCAAGCTGAGTGTTTGTGAGCCTCTGCTGGTTCAGGTATGCAGGAGGGACACACTCGCACTTCTTTGAGCACAGCCAAAGTGTTGCTGCAGCAGCAGATGGTTAAAAAGACGAGAGGTGGAAAGGGTCTGAACTGAAAGCCAGTAAGAACTTTACTCCATTTGATGTATTTTAACTATATATATATAACAGAATGTAACACCTGCACGTGTAAAGAGATGGCCACTCGATTTGATTCCCATACCACCCTAAGAAAATCTCTCTAGATCCGCCCCGGGAGAGGGTTTAAACTGTTTGGGATTTCTGCACTGATTATCTGCATTGCCTGAATGTCATCTAAGTAGTAATCATAATCAAACGACACACAATAATAGTACTTGGCTGAAGACTCTGCGGTCACTCAGAG